CTTTGAGTTCATTGCTGAGAACAGTTCTCCCCACTGAGTGTCATGGTACCAGAAACAGCACCTCTACCAGGATGCTAACTGAAAACAATTCTGATTTGACTGATTTCAACACAAGATGTGGAATACTTCACAGTTCTGAGTATAATCAAAATCAATAGTAAGTACAGGCTCCCTTCTGACTCTTGTTTTTCAATCTACACCATATTAGTTGTGCTGTTTTAGTCCAGGCAGTGGTAGGCCGCTGAGACTTTTTTGATGTGGAGATCTTCTCCAGTGCCTGGGTGTTTAAATCCTTGGTGTTGTTGATTGAGATCTAACACCTTCTGCAAAATAACTTGCAAGAGACATGAGACATTCGCGCTCATTGAGATACCATGAGCGATAACTCCGCTCTGAACCATCTGTTAGACCCTTTGTTTGCTGCTGTTCTTTGTACTGAAATTCAAATATTTTGGAATGAATAGGGGGGAAACTGCCCAAGAAGGCCCCTAACTCAGCTTTAGTTTATCAACAACAACTGCAGAATATGATAGGAACCAAAACATCTATTTCCAGTGGCTTTGCTGTATTCTGCTTTTATGGTGATTCATATGCAAACCTGATGCCAGCCTGTTTGGGGTGTCTCAAAAAACCCTGAGCAAACTTAATAAACAAAGGTAACATACTCAGAGGTGGAGCAGTTATTAGTAGGCCCACAGTGAGATTGAGTTAACTTTGCAAATTTGAGATGAAGAATCTTTCATATGGAAATGGAAACTGAGGTCTTGGCTACCTAAAGAGAGAGAAATCCCAAAATGTGTCCATTTTTTAATGGTGACATCACTGCTTATGGCATGATTTACTGTAAAGTAGAGGTAGACTTTTGTCTGTATCTATTAATTTCATTTGGTCTATGACAATTTAATGCATTGGAAATGTGGTCGTTTGCGTAGCAGACCAGAGTGCCTGGTTCTGCTGTCCTGGTCTGTGTTTCTTTTGGATATCTGAGCGATGCTGGGCAATGCCTGTATGACCTGGTGAGTGGCTGTGTTGTCCCACTGCCTCTATGAATGCATTTAAATTGAGGTAGAATACTTGAAAATCCACCCTTTAAGGATTTCAAGAGGAAAACCTTGTTGACCAAAAATATCCATATTTTATATATATCTATATCTATACCTGTTATTGTTGACAAAAAATATCTATAAATCCTTCATTGTACCAGAGTGAGGTCACCTCCCCTCTCCCTCTCCCTGCTTAGCCTTATAGCTCTGCAGTTAAAGAATTCACAGGGTATGTAGAAATCAGCCCCCTCCCCCCCAGCTCTTCTTTTTAGTTAGAAGGACCTCCTGTGTTCATTAAAAACCATAGTACATTTGTGTATGCTGTTCTCACCCTTCTTTGGAAGCTCAGCTCTTTCACATAAAAACCCCTCTTCCAGACTGGCTGGGTCAGAGGGGTAAGAGGATATATCACATCGCAGCCCACAGATGCAGATGTCCACCAAAAACGGGATTGAAGTTTTTCCCATCAACTTCATTCCACTAAAGAGTCACAGGACAAAGCAGAGCTGTTTGTGCCGAGATACAGCAGGATAGGTAATACATGTCCCTCTCCATGTTAGTATTGACGACTTCAAGGTCCTTCCTAGTTAAAAGGTGTACTATGGCATTTCTTAATTGTTTTAGGAATATCTCATACTTTAAGGGGATTGTGCTGATATGCTTCCTCTTATTTATATAATTTTGTAAAAATGCAGAGAGTTAGTGTTAGAATATAGCTTGTTCTGTCTGTAGACCTTACAAGACCTACTGCCTACAATTTATGTACCCATCTTGTTTTCTTATCAAAAAGCCAAAACTGAGTCTGTTCTTCCCTTTAATAACCTTCCGGGAACACAGTGATAACTGCTACTTTTTAACAGAAGTCTTTTGCAGACCAATATAGAACAGGAAACATTTATCAAAAAGTAGTGATACCTGAGCATATTGATAGAAAGAAAACAGAGAGGAACAAAGAAAAACAGTCATGAGCTAATATCTGTAACTCTTTCGTTATGTATAAATATAATATTACATACTTCAGAAGTGTAAAGATATTCTTTGGCCCATCTTCTGTTAACATTTTCAGCCTGTCTAGATATATACAGGGCTTTTTTTTTAATATGGTACCTGTTGTTTCTTTTTCACAGTTATTCTCTAAGACTAGGAAATCAGAAGCCCCAGACACAGAGTAGGTAAACATCACTAATCCAAGGGATTTTGATTTGAAAAAGAAATTGTTTTATTTCACAATAAGGGAAAGGGACACAATCTCCTTTGTCTGCAGTCTGTGACAGAACTTTCCCAACTGGGCAGCTGGGCTGCTCAACCTTCACCTGCTTCCCTGACACACACAGGAAGGAGGAGAGAGAAACTCCAAAGAGATGCAGCTTCTCACGTTGCAAGTTAGGGACTCCTCTCCAAGCTTGTCATATGATGAAAGTGGATGCAGGAACCAGTTATTGCTCAGGGTGAGCATACACCTTCTATTTCCCACCCACAAAACCTTGTGCCAGCAGTTGCCAGCAAGAAACCAAGCAAAAGCAAGACCTGCAGATGACACTAAACCAGCTCTCAAATTGTAAGGGTTACAGAAAATTTCCAGGAGAGGGGGAGTTATTACTGCATTTCTTCTCTTTTTGCGCAATACTGGTTTTTCAGCCACTAGGTTAGTCAGTGACAGATCTCTGCTTAGATAGCCAGTGACAAAAGGTCAGTGGGCGTCACACCGTCTTTTCCCATGGAAAATGCTGACTGTTTGCCATTGGTATTTTGACAAATTTAGACCTGTGTGGCTTTTCCAAAAAACCCTAAAACATTTTATCTAGTCTAGTTTTTGAAGCATGCAATAAGTGTGTTTCATCTTTGAAGCTCACATTGTTTGCAGAAAAAGGAAAAAGCAAAATAAACTATATTTTGCTTGTCTGGTTTTAGTGACTGCAAAAATGTAAGTCACAAAAAAAAAAAGCAGAAATGGTTTTGAAAGCTTTTGTAAGTACACTGTAAGAAAATTCTAGATTCATTGCAAAAGAACCAACCATTTTCTGCTCAAAATTATGCATTTGATAATTGTACAAAGCATATTTCCAAATAAATTTAAAAACCCTATTGAAATTTTAAAAAGCAGACAAAAAACAAACAAAAAAAAGGAAAGTAGAAGGTACAAGACTGGCTTTAGTAAGTTCTGTTACTTGTTTTAACGAAAACGTGATTTCCTCCTATTATTCTTTTCAATGAAAATCAGACATCAAAAGCAAACCAAACAGTAGAGATGTTCAATCTATCAATCTAAATTGGCCCAGTACTGGTAAAATTGCATGAGGAAGAAATATACAGTATGTTAGTTCTGCTGTTGAGAAAATACAGTTCAAGTAGTCTGTACTACCATATGACACACAGTGGCTCCCTTTCTGTGCAATGTAATTAGGAAACAAGATGTAGCATCTGAGGGACTCATACCTTTGAAGAACATGACAACTTTTGAATAAATAAGAAGGAAGATGTGAAAGTTACTGTGTAGCCTCCTTCTAATTTTTTGGGGGGAGAAAAAAAGTACTTTGTTTTAAATGTAAATAATTCCTTTTATTTTTTTCAGATAGGATATTTTTCAAATAATTTTTTAAATAAATTTTTAAAATAAATATTTGAGATATTTGGGTGTTTTATTTGTTTTATTTCTATTTTTATATACAATGTAAATAAGATGGTATACATGCACATTTCTGTTTGTAAAATATAGTGGTCTGTACTAAAAACTTACATGACTTTAACATTACAGTTCATAAATGCTACTTAAACAGAACAATCCAACATTACTTTCTTCTTCTCTTTTTTTTTTTTTACACAATAAGATTTCAGGAAAATATACTAAAATATTCTGAATTCAGACAGACAAGTATTTGCTCAACTGAAAGTGGTTCAATTAAGGCATCTAGCCGGCTCTGCAGACAACCATATATTATGCATGGTTTGAAGAGGAAGTAACTAAGCAATATATTCTGGGCTTTACTTCCTTATTTATTCATATAATCATCACTGGAGCAGGTTCTTGTCTGTTGTAATTCACTGTATCTGGTTCTTATGCAATAATGGCAATTTATATCATATAAGAACTGAGCTGAGATAGATTCTGCTTATCAAATTTTATGTTGCTTGAATTAGCTTAAAATTCAATTCATTCTTACATCGCACACTTTGCACACTTACCTTTCAGAAAAATTTTCAGAAGTGCGGGGTGTACAAAAAAACCTCCAAAATTTGCATACATCTGTTTTGGAGAGGACAAGGCAAAATTGTTCTTTCTAATTATGGGAAATCCTCCATTAACATGTTAATCTTCTTAGTGAACAGTCAAATCTGAGGCAATGTCAAGAAAATATTGGGCAATGTGGTTAACTATCCTCCCAATTAAGTTTTCCAGTTATTGGCCGGAAAATTTCTCTATTTTTCCTTGTACAGGAAACTGGAGCACCTAGAAACAGACTTTGAAACTTAATCATCCATATTACTATTTCCTATCCTCAAAAAGATCTGAAATTTAAGTTTTTAAAGCACTGAATTAAAACCACTTTACTAATCACTGTATTTTTCTGATATGTAAAATTTCCAAATTGCACTATAAATTAGTGTGCATGCATAGTGAAAGTATGCAATTGTCAAAGGTTAGTCAATTGATAGTCATTTAATAAATAACTGATATGCCGTTATTGGAGCTAATTCAACACACAATCACAGTATATCTACAATACTTTATGCAGATCATACATACTTTTAACATTGAAATTTTTTTACAAAATTTGCTTTCAAATAGCATGTAACGTAAGTAATACGAGAAAAATCAGAATAGACAAGATTTTTTTTCTTTCTGAGCTCTAATTCCTTAGTATATCACATATTAAATTTAAGATTAAATATACTTTAAAATATGGTATGTTTAGAAAATTTTAGAACACTTTTTGTTAAAAAAACCAAACCAAACCAAACCAAAACAAAACAAAGTAAACATTTTCTAAAGAAAACTAAGAATCTAGCATACGCAATATGAGTAAATCTTAATTTGGGTCTGCAGGTGCTGCTTGCACCAAACCCCAGTTTGAAATAAATGCTACTCATTTAAATGTAAATACTGTTAAAAATGAACCTCAGCTCTAGAATAAAGACTGTAAGATGCTGACAGTACAAAGACTGTAAGATACAGAGGACCTGACCTTTAGATGAGGCACTTGAAGTCCTGTCCTGTTCTATGGGATGCTACTTGCAACACTACTTGCAGGATGAAATATGGCTCAATCCTGTACATCCTCGTTCTTCTGTTCTTAGACATGGGTCTTATTGCTTCCTCATAAAACCTTGAAGGCATGCTATGCAGTGCAAAGTTATACACTGGGAGAAGCAGTTTACAAGAGCAAGAACTCTAGTCTAAGGAAGGCTTGCACACTCTATCACTGAAAAAGCACAATACATGGTCTGGCCTTTGTGAGACAGCAGAATCTCTTCATTTTCCCTCTTCATTTGGGAAGAACATCAGTCCAGTTTGCACTGCTCTACATTCCATAAGCATGAGGACTAAGTCTCAGCTCTACTGACATATATTATGGAGGACCTCTTGTCCTCTCCTGTCCATAGAGGAAAATAAGGCTCAGTTTACTCTTAGAGATAGACCCCAATTAGAAAAACAATCCTAGTTCTATAAATTATCAGGAGTTTGTTTCAAACACTGAGTCTGCCCAAGTTATCACCACTGTTGGGAAAGTACAGATCCAAAAAGAGATAACACAGCCCAGTGCCTTCGTTGAAGTGAGTCTTATCATAATGATCTTTTCTATTCAGTCACTCCCCTAAACTCAATAGGATCTTTTATGTAACTTCCTAACACCTTCTGCATTGTGCAGATTTTATAAAGTCACATACATGTCATCATTCATTAAAATATGGAAGCCAGCAAAAGAAGCTATAGTGTTGGATGCTGGTACCAGGCAGGTAATCTGAGTTGCTTTGAGGTCACTATTTTCAGCCATTCCTGAAAAAGTAAAGATTTTTTCCAAAGGCCCCTGTTTGCCACTATTCTTTTCATCTTCTTGTTGGCTTTCTGCCTCAGTGATGCACTCTGGCTCTTCATATTCTAGCTTGGTTTGAAGCACCACATGATCAGTTTTGTCTAGCCATTCCTAGGAAAATTAAAATATTGGTGTTGGCAGAGATGAGATATCAATCAAAGGAAACCTGGTTGTAAGACACTGATTTTCGTTTCATAATGGTATCTTTCCAGGATAAGCCACAATGGAGAAGATGAAGAGGAAGCAATATAGACAAGAAGGACATCAGATAGTAGGATGGAAGAAAGACAGAATGGAAATAAAACAGACAGAACTGCATACAAATTCCACTTAATCTTGAGACCACGTTAAATACATATTTGTATTTAATCAGGGCCTTTCGAAAACCTGAATGTGTGAAATATCAGGTGCTACCTCCTTGACAGACTTATGCATTCTTTGACCCAAGCCCTGACTTAATCTAAATTAAGACTGAGTTTACATGGAGATTTAGGCAACATAGCATATCTGTATTAAAGCTTCAGTATTAATTTGAATTGTACCTTTCTTCTTCAGTTTTTGTTTAAAGCTACCATATACAAAAAGTTTTCAGCTTGTTATGGAAAAATTATTACTGCTCTTTGATATTGTCATTGGGTTTGTCAATGTAAATATTTGACCTGTTTCCCCTCAGAGGAAACGTAGTAGTAATTAAGGTAAACACTAAAACAGCTAATACAGAAAACTACACCACATAGGTGATGTCAGGGACTCATGAGAAACATTAAGAAAGCAAAAACAAATACTGTAATCTATTATTCTGTTAACCATTGTGTGTCTAATGGTTTGTTGACTATGCACCTCTATGGCTGATAAAGGACGCTTCCTACTGTGACTGATGCCTCCAAAAGCATGAGTGCCACCACTGGCTCAGCACTCCCTGACTCAGCAATCACTCTGTCGGCACTTCACAAACATAAAGGGTAAGACCAGGCTGAAGCAAACTCCCTGACATATCATGTGCAGAAATGGATGAAAACACCACAGTGTCATCACAGTGGATATTGTGCCTCTGGACACCTGTAAATTCTTCTCCGGAAGATTCTGTCTCTTATAGCAAGTGTCTTTTCACAGTGCTAAAGCAGCACTACATTGATTATATGAGTCCTGGTATTTGCTCTGTGAATCTTCTTGGTGATACTGCTCGAGGGGAAGGACGTTAGGGCTTTTGTCTTGTGTCAGAGTGCTTGTGCCTGTGACAGGGCAAAAATCGGTAGCTACTTTTAAATTATTCTCAACACTGTAGAGTTTACAGCCCTGCTAAGAAGGTGATGCTTACCTGGAAGTTTCCATTATGATCATTTAAGAGATCAGCAAATATGTATTTTGGATCTGGTATAGCAGGCATGACTGACATCTGAAGCCTGCAAAAAGTAAAGAAAAATACAAATTGATGTTTCGTTATAACATAACCATTCATACAAAAATCCACTTCAGTACAGTTCTGTACCCACAAATATATTTTATATGAGAGTACTCTAGTCTTGACTTCTTTTAAATGTGTTCTAAAGTAAAAAAAAGCAGTTATAACTGTATGATAACACCATCAGGTTAAAGGTACCTTTTCTAATAAATTTTTGACCCAACCCCACTCTAGTAAAATCTGGACTTAATACAAACTTCCAGCTAGTCAGCAAGTGCCATTCTGCCCTATGCACTAGTCAGAGCTTTGCATTTTCTGGCCATGTCTCCCTAGACAGGGAAGATGGTGCAGCAACCAGCTGTACTGGCTGACTTAGTGAACACAAATGTAAATTTGAAACAGAGAAGCATAGGAGGAAAAATGCAATTTATGATCTAAAAAGGTGATCAGAGTCCCCAATATTTTCATCTCTGAAAATACTGCATATTTAGCCTTTTTTCCCCCCTAAAAAAGCCAAAATCTGAGGCCTTCGCAGGTTTCACTTGTTGTTTGGTAGTTGTTTTGTTTTTTTATTTCCAAATTCTAAACATGAACAGCATCATTCAGTTGCAAATCCAAATATTGATATTGTCTCATTAAAGTTGAATGCACTCAAGCTTACTTTATCCTTCTACAAACAGACATTGAGTTTTATGAAGATTGACAAAAGAATGTCCTTTCAGAAGAAGTAACTAAAATGATTGACTTCTCAGGATTTAACTATATTTCTAAAAAAAAAAAGAAAAGAATTATGTCTCTTCCAGAGGCAGAATTATAACCTGAAACATTGTCTTTTACCAGAATTGTTTTGGTTTTGAAAATTAAAGGCCTTGGTGTTTGGAAGGCCAGGATGCATTATTCCTCAAATAGTAATTAAGCTACTGACTTTTACATCTCCACAATGACTTCATTTATCCAAAAGGAATTTTGATTGCTAAGACTTGATCCTGAATGAGAGCTGTATTTTTGTGACATGTTAGTTAGTAGTAACCAACAAAACCATATTTACCTCTTCCGTTTACACAGAAGAATCAGGAGGATAATCATCATCAGAAATACTGCAAGCAAACAACTTAAAACAATTACTGTGTTTGACTGAGATGTTCTATCATCATCACATGAATCTAAGAATAATCACAAAAAGAGTATGTCAAAAAATTATTTTTTTCTTTAACAGTAAATGTTCCTAATCATGCTACAATGTTAATTTTTCTTTAAAAAGAAGAAAAAGAAACACAGAAAAGTTTTTAAGAACAAATAAAAGAAGTTTACTTGTTCAATTGATACTGAAAAGAAAACCTATACTCCCCCAAACCTTTCAACAAAAGAAAACTGTGCTTTTATTTATCTAAATTGACCTGGTACAGGACAAAGGAGTGGGCTTATAGGAAGGGTAGATGCATTATGAATGAATCAAGCATTTCTTCTCATCTTCATCATATTGCATTGACAGCGATAAAGCAACTTTGTGCTAAGATCTGTATTGCATACACCTACTTACAATCACTAAAGCTGCCAATGCTATTTTACATGAAACCTGAATGTCTTATCTCCCAACAGAAATCAAACAAACAACTCCAGCAAACAAAGTGCCAACAAACCACAAGAGCTAATATCCAGAAAGTAACTAGTGGTAGGACAACATCTAATATGCAGGTACAAAAAAAAAAAAAAAAAAAAAGCATTTGTGCATTTTTCTGCATGCCAAGTATTCTACTTGAAGCTTTTACAATGCAACCTCAAAGCTCTACCTCCTACTATTAACCTTCTGGTCTCCACATAAACACTCTAAAAACTAAGTGATTATTCATATAGAAGCAGCTGTTTAGCCTGTTCCATCTGCCTGCCCTGTTCAGTTTACCAGGAAGCCACAAGTCAGGTTGTGACCCCTAAGTAAGGTTTTCAGAGTTTATGAAATTTCTTGAGCCCATCTTTGTTCGTGGCTTGCTCTGATGTTAGATTCGGAGTCAATAATAACTTGCCCCAGTGAAGGGGCTCTGTCAATGTCACTTCTGATCCAGGGGCACTCAGAGACCCTGAACCATTAGTCTGTCTCCTCTGTGCTTTCCTTCCTTGCATGTACCTGCTGGCAGCCTCTGGTCAAATGGTTCAGGTAGGGCTGATATGTGGTCACCTCTCAGAGGTGCATAGGAAGACATGGTCCTCTGTGTTTTCTTGGGGGCAATTGCCAGACACATCTGAGGACATGCTTGTAGGCTCACAGTTTGCATAGTGGAGGTCAGCACTGTGGTCACTGGTATGGTACACATACCTATGCTCCAGGATTTCATCCCAGCTTTGCATATACAGATTTTCTTCAAGTGATCTAATAGCCCATTGCACTTTAGAGAATTCAGATCTTGGTACACTGGACATCTGAGTGTCTCATAATTGTGATAAAGCCTAGTGGTTAGCATTTTGTGCCAGTTGATATAATACAAATGTCTTAGTATGGTGTATGGTCTTTCCTTTACTACAGCAAATCTGGGGTTTGGTTTCGGTAGTCAGTAGAAAAACTGTTTCATCAAAGATCTAATTGAAATCAATCACACTCAGATGTATCTGTCTGGTGGGAAAGCAGTTCTCATACTAGCTTTACTTCCATTTATTCTCTTTTTCCCCATCATCCCTGTTTTGATCCATCCAGCACCTGTGAACATCAGATTCTGTGACCTCCGGCCCAGTAGTCCAACTGGATATACTTTAAAAATAAACTGCATTCAAAAATGGGGCATCAAGGACTTTCTTAGGGTTCAGGTTTGTTGTCCAAATATCCTATGAGGGCATCCCCCACAACACCTACATTCACAGAACCCCTATGTATCACATCACTGTTACTGAAGGACCCTAGACACTCTTGTAACACAAATAATGAGAATATTCTTAACTTTGCTGATTATGACATAAATTGATTGCATTATGGGCCATCAGGAACAAAAGGGACAGAGTTAAACGTGGGCAATTAGATATCCACATGAACTTTCTTTGATAACAGAAAGTGGAGCACAATAGTTCAACATTCATTCACTGTGTGTTCCCAGCATCTTTTGCAGACTTCCCTTCCCCTTTCGCAGTTAGACTATATACATATATATATGTGTGTGTATATATATTTGTGTGTGTGTGTGTGTGTATATACACACATGTATACACACACACACAAATATATATATATATATATATATAAGCTGTTACCTAATAACGTGCCATTCATCCAAAATGTTTCTGCTTCCCAGTCACTGCTGTAATTAACTACGTTGCAGTGGGGTACTAGCCTCTTCAGTCTGACCCGGAAAGAATAGCATTTCCTTGAATCAAAGCCTTGATCTCCAACACGGCAACATCTGGAAGTTCTGGACTGAGAAGGAAGGTGTATTGTTGTTAATTCTGATTTTCAAGGCAGTGCTTCAGAATGCTACACAAGTAAGATAAGGGATAGACCAACCCAAAACCTCAGAACTGAATGTTGACTTCTCTGCATTTCAAGGAACTCTGTTTCTTGATTAACATTTTGCTATTCATATCTATTCCACTTTGTATGATATTGAGTTGAAAGTCATAACAACCATTACGTCGTGCACTGTGTTACATCTGCATTTTTGCAAAATACAAAGAAACTTCGATCCACAAAATATTTACAAGTTATACTTGAAAATTGAAGATTTAAGTTGATGAAATAATATTTTGAAATACTTAGCAGCTAATTTTAAAATAAATAAAAATCCCGTGTAATTTTACTTTTTTCACACTATTTCATTAGTTTTTTCTTATTTTTCTCTCTTTTCTCTACTCTGCTTTCTTCTTTTATCTTTCCATACTCTTTTATTCTGAATGTGAGACCTTTCCCTTAGATTGTCCTTGGCTCTTTGGGTAGCAACTGGATATAACTCATAAAGTAAATTATTTCTGGCATTGCAGGAATCCAGGATCCTAAAAATCTAGATGTTTTTCTGCTACCAGCCTTATTTGAAAATATAGAACAGGAGAACAATTTGAAAACAACTGTATCTCACATTCTATGGAGATGCTATTCCAGCTCCTTCCAATGTTGATTAAAAATGGGGCATTCAAACTTACTTGCCACTCTTTGTCAAACATGCTTTTGTATTGAAGCTCAAGCCTCAAGCACTTCACAGCTCTCTCTGGTTTATTACAGCTCACAGTAACCGTGTCCTCTTTCCAGAAGAAGGTCACATTTTCTGGTGGATTGGGCTTTACTAAGAAGAATAGAAACAAATTTTGCTATAAACTCTGAAAAAGAAGCATCTCCCAGTTAAAATTATTGTTGTTCCTTCCTTGTCTCAATGTTTCCCTAAATAGTAATTGGAGAAGGTGGACTTTCTTCTTGTTGGATTTGCTTTTGTAGCTGATCTCCCTATTGACCATCAGAGTAGAGCCTGGCATCACAACACTGCTCACCATTCAAGGTGTCACATTAAAGGTAGTTACTATGTCATGTCAGGAACCTATTGCAAGTGCTTAAGAAAGGACTCCAGTCTCCTCATACTCTGCAATTTAGAGAAAGAAAAAGATTTCTTTATTGGAAACAAATATCATAGAGACCCCAAGACACACCTGTGCAGCTGCTGGAGGCTATGTGGGATATGGTGGGGCATCTGCAAAAAGCACTGGGTTCCTACCTGTGCACAGTTGAATCTACCCATCACTCTTTTCAGGTGGTCAGGAGACAATGCTATGGTTTGAACTATACAGATGGTTAATCTTTAGTAGTGGGAAATGAAGGGGTGAGAAGATTGCTACCTGCTTTCTCAGTCCTAGTTCCCTTTTTGTATTATGAAAATGTTACCCTCCTAATTTAAATACTTTAGCCTGGTGCTTGATGTTTTTGCCTTGTTACCTAACCCTTTTGAAATTCATTTTATTATCAGTGGGTGTTTAATAGCCAAAATTTGAGGATCAGTCTGCAGTTTTCCAAAATTTAGCAGATATTGTTAGAATTATGACATACAAAAGTATTCTCAAAATTCAACGCCTTGATAGATTTTTGTTTAATCTCTTTTGCTGAAACATTATAATCAATTTGGAATACATTTTCTTTTTCCAGATCATTCTCCATTGTATATTTTCTATGAGATTTGTATTAGGAAAAAATCTTTCCACTTTAAATGATGTAAATATGTGAAATTCCAGAAGATTTTGATAAACTAATCTCACACTAGACATGAAACATGTATTTGGGGGCAGGAAGGATTTAACAGAAATAGGAATATCATCTCTCTGCTAGTAGTAGGATGTGCCTTTTACTCTGTACCAGAGCCCCTCAACTAATTTCTGTTGATATCTGATGAGGGTTTTGTGACAGCAGCTTTGATAAAAAGTAGTTTGCTGCCTCATATTGCATGCAGGATGACAAAATAATGGAAGGTTGAAAATATGAGAAAGATCATAATTCTAACAGTCAGCACTAAGACAAAAAAAACTATCAACTTTTACTAATTTTCCTGGTGCAATTACCGAGCAGGCCTGCACTAGACAAAGTACACCTACTTTTTTTTTTTTTATTTTTGTTCTGATTTTGAAATTGTATTTTGTGACAAATCTGACTGTCCTGTGCTATCTCACTTAGCTTCAGCTGCACGCTGTAACTACTGGTGACAGCGAGGGAAAAAATTCACCATGAAATTAGTTTAGTTTTGACACACACACAAATAACATTTTATCTGCTAATATAACTGATTTATTCTCAAACTCAGACAACCGGAGAATCAGTGAGGATACTGGGACTACCAAAGTAGTTGTGACTTTACATACTTACTATAAAAATCAGATTTTAGCTTTTTAGAAAAAAGCTCTTCACTTCCGTTGCTGTTCCTAATAGAGATGGCAAGGGTAGGTCCTTCTGTCTTAAAAAGACACCCAAAATTATAATCTTGATCCAATAAATAGGCGGGACATGGCTTCCAAACTTTTTGCTTGCCTTCATCAAATCTATAAATGAAACAGTATTGGCAAATGGAAAACTTACCAATTAGCATATGTCAATTCAATTAATTTTTGTTACTGTTATTAATTTTTCTTCCTTCTTTTTTTTTTTCCCCAAATGTTTCTACCAAAGGAAGTCTGAGCATGGAATTTTTGGAAATGACAAATTTCACAGTAGTGTGAGGGAATTCATCACTCAAAACTTATTGAAATTCCAGCCCTAGGCTTTGATGCAGTCTGACATAATCAAGTTTCCTTCATGCTGTTGTTTTCTAATAAGAGAATTACTTGCTCAAACAGATAATTTTGTGATTCTGTTTCCAAGAATGTACTGCAAAAAGTTCTTTCACATATATTACCCAATAAGAAAAGATCAAGCATTATGACTGACTTTAACCAAAATATTAAATTTCTGTTAGTCATTAATAATGTCAGTTAATGAAGAAAATATACACACATATGTGGAAAATCCACTTTCAATACTGTAATTAGCATTAGCATTTAGCACAATGGCAGAAGAGAGACAAATCTTTCACATAATATTTGTGGTAACAGGCTACTCACCAGGCTTGTTGATTTGTACACTTCTGTAACAGTTTGGGAATATAAACAGGTTTCATACTGGATATTAACAAATGTTAAAAACCTTTTCAGTTCACAGAAGACTCAAATGGACTTAGATATTTCAGCCTCCCAAAGTAAACCCTTAAAAAGAGAAGAATAGGCATTGACAATACTCACGTGTAAGAAAATGACACATTCTCATTGTGAAAAAGCTCTCTTGCTGCCCATGTGATCTGCATCTTCTCATTATTGAAATTGATTATTGTGATGTTGATGGCATCTTTCAAACCTGCCCAGGACAATGACAGAGAATATGGTTTCAGGAGTTAGTATGGAAAGCATCCCTTGATATTTATAGGCAACCAGTATTTCAAAGATATGTATGCAGTAGTTCCAGGTGATCATAAAATAAGACATAAGAACTTCTAAAATTCAAGGAAACAGTAAAATAACCTAGAGAGATTGAACTTAGAATTTCAAAATAGCAAAATGAAAGCATGCACAGCAACACCAGGGAAAGATTTAGCCCCATGGTCCCTTGGCCAAAAGTTATATACTGGGCCACGTGTATGCAATGCCTATACAGGGCCTATGCAGGGCATATATGCAGGGCCTACGCCTTAAGGCCAGCTTACCTCCATAATATCTACTAAGGAAAACTATTTGGGAACTAATGCTATATGGAACCTCTGTGTAAACTCTCAAATGTTTACTGTAAGAAATAAGGAACTGACACCATCGGTCCAAAACAGACAAGAACAATAGGAATCTGGAGCAGATCAGCACAAGTAGGGGTATTACATATTTGATCTATGTGGTTTCGGCCAATACCACCTTAAATACAAGTGTGATCATTTAATGTTTTTTGTCTGTACACAGATATTATTTCCTCTCATGATCATTTCCTTGTTACAGTCCTTGCTAGAGAAACAGATATTTTAATTCCATGTCCATCATGGAATTTCCATTCCATGTTTCACTTAAGATAGAACCTGGCATTGAAGAAATGGAGAAACTAAGAAGGCAGAAGGATTAGAAATCCATTCTATACTAAGGAGGAGGACAAATTATTTATTTTGTATTCTAGAAGATGTGAAATTGTATTTAATTTAATGAAAAAGATAGAGAAAATTTATCTTGAATATCAGCAAGAAACCACTTGAAGGAAAAATTTGCAGACTGTTGTCTCTAGCCATGAAGTGTCTATCACTAAAAACCTTTGCTGGAATATTCCTGCCTAGGAGGAAAATATAGGATTTTAGTTTTGATTGCTGTTTACATTTTATGCCACTCTGGACTTTTGAAGAGGTTTGTGGTGGAAAAATTTTAAATCATTTCGTATGAGCTTTTCATCACATCCAGTTGTTCTGATTATTTCATGGGAATCACACATAACTATTCTCAGGGTTGCTATCTTTTGCTCCATAATCAATATTAAGAATGCGAGAAAGGTATGTGAGTTCAAGTAAGCATTTTGCCTATTTTTATGCCTATATCTCTATGTCTAGATATTTTATGACTACTCTAATTAAAGTTAGTCAGAACATTTTTGTATAGGTGTATTTGTGTTGTAGTACATTGTTTTGTCAAAATTATTCAAGATGGTTATGACAGAAATCCAGGAGGTACCGGGTAGATGTAGCTGCAGGTTTCTGCTATGTAATTCATGGAGCTCTGGTAAAAAAGATTCTGCTCTTATTCAAAAGAAAGACTTGAAACTAACTCCTCCAGCTCCTAACTAATGCCTGCAGGCTTGTTCTGTATTGTTTTCTCGAACAGAAAATCTTATGTGTCAGTACTATTACAAGCAGAGACAAAAACGGAAGTTAAAACCCTCAAAAGGTATAGTAAAATGGAGTTTATCCAGCCATTTCTACCTCTGTTACAACAGACTACCTATGTACCTCTTGTTTCCTAAATTTGCAAGCTCTTTGTAAGTCTGTCTACAGGTCTAAGAGATGATTTTGTCTTTAACTAAAGCCACCAAGAAATATGATGGCGGAGTGTCTAACAGTGGATTCTTGGTCTGCAATTACACTAATACTTCTTAATTTTTATGGACTACATAGTTGTGCTCTGCAATATGTATAGTGTAACTGAAATCCATATGACTTCTTGGACTTATATTTTCTATAAAGGTAGATAAACATATATTTAATGTATATTTGAATGTATAATTACAAGTTCTCCATCTCAAAATTGACATTATAAAAACAAATATAAATATAAATATAAATATAAATATAAATATAAATATAAATA